TGTTTTCCGGGACACCCCCCCCAGCGTGCAGGCAGGGAAGGGCAGTGCAGGCAGCCCGGGGCCGGCAGCAGCAGCCGGATCCAGACCGGGCAGGAGGAGCCAGCCGTGTTTAAGGGAAAAAGGAAACACTTCAAACCCCCCAAACCTCCTCTGCTGTCACCCCCACCTGCCCTGCCCTGAGCGGTGACTCCCCCGAGGCCACGGCCAAGGTGCAGCCCCCAGCCCAGACAGAAACCTCAGGGGTGCAAAGCACTTCCCGTGCACCCCCCGCCCCGAAGAGCCCTGTGCCAGGGGAGGAGCCCGGGGGGGGGAGGATTAACCAGGTTGACCAAGATTATGACTGTTAATTATATTATCATGCCGGCCTATCATCCTCATCACCAGTATTAATGGCCTTAATAAGAGCAGAGGCAATTACAGCAGTAAGAACAATGCTGGGGGGGGAGGATTAACCAGGTTGACCAAGATTATGACTGTTAATTATATTATCATGCCGGCCTATCATCCTCATCACCAGTATTAATGGCCTTAATAAGAGCAGAGGCAATTACAGCAGTAAGAACAATGCTGACTGCACTGCTGCTATTACCCGTGGCAGGAATGGTACTACCAGTAGTAAGATCCCTAGTAGGGCACAGGAACACAGGCAGGAAGCTCTGGGCTCCCTAGGGCTCCAGGTCAACCTTATTTATTTCCATAACGACAAATTAAGCACAATCATTATTTCAGTCTGTGTGAGACAATTTAATTCTAGGTCACGCTTGAGCTCTTAATGAGAGCCTTGGAGGAGCCTTCCCTCGATCCATGTTCCCTCTCCCAGTCCCCATCCACCCACATGTGCCAATGGATTTGGTCCATCCCTGTCAGGGGGAATGGACTGTGAGGGATCAGGAGCTGTGGGGTGGCTTGGCCATGGGGATGGGGGTCTGGCCCCTCCTGCCCACCCCACAGGGAGGCTTTCCAGCTCCTCAGGTTTTCCTCCAGCTCTTTTTCATTTCCTGGGGTACAGCAAGACCTGGGGAGCAGCTCGTGGTGCCTGGTCAGGGGCACAGCAGGACAAGGGGGATCCTCTCACCCCAAAACTTGGGGGACAAAAGCAAGGCAGGACAAACTGAAGCACCAAACCAGCCTTGCCTGGGACTAAACCCCAACTCTGCTTCATCTGCTCACCACAAGAGACAGAGAAGAACCTTCTCCCATCCCAGGCATGCAGGGCACAGGCTGGGGGGCACTGATAGCATGTGTGACCATGAGCATCTCCCTCCTCCTGCCTAACTCAGCTTTCCCACCACAGTGAGCTGGGATCCCAGATTTCCAAGCGGAAGGGCTGGAGCTCCTATGTCTGCACTTTTTGGAGGCATTTAGCTTCACAAACCAACCCATCAATCCACCCCAAAGCTGTCTGATTCACCCCAAAGTGTCCTTCAACTGGGGACATTTGTCACATCAAGGTGTGTTTTTAGAGAGGAATCACAGAATCACAGAATGGTTTGGGTTGGAAGGGACCTTAAAGATCATCTAGTGATCTTCAAGGGCAGGGACACCTTCCACTAGACCAGGTTGCTCAAAGCCCCATCCAACCTGGCCTTGACAATGGAAAATAGAGGGAGAACAAGGTGCACATGCGTCAAGAGGGTCCCCAGCCACCTCCAGCCCAGCCCCAATCCCCCACCACTCACCCCTGTTCCTCCATCATCTCCTGCAGCTCCATGCATTTCAGCTCCACCCGCCGCTTGCGCTCGTGGTCCAGGATTTCCCGGTGAGCCTTCTTCACCAGGCTGGGCTCCACCACCTTCACCTCCTCCTCCCCCTTGTGCCATGTCCCCGAGGCACTGGGCTGGGAGAAGCCATTAGAGGCTTCCTGGGGTGAAGGCACGTCGGCCCCATTGTTGTAGAGAGCCATGATGGGTGGGTGACGTTCCCTCTCCCCAGTGACAGTGAGGGGACCCAGTCAGGACATGAAGACAAAATTCATCTCAAAAAAGGAGCAGGCACATAGCTTGGTGGGGAGAGCAACCCAAAGAGCTGGGTCTTCTGCCAGATCCCTTCCTGCCTCTTGCCTCAGTTTCCCCAGCTACAAAGCAAGGCTGGGGCTGTTCCCGTGGCCATGCTGCACATGCGTCAAGAGGGTCCCCAGCCACCTCCAGCCCAGCCCCAATCCCCCACCACTCACCCCTGTTCCTCCATCATCTCCTGCAGCTCCATGCATTTCAGCTCCACCCGCCGCTTGCGCTCGTGGTCCAGGATTTCCCGGTGAGCCTTCTTCACCAGGCTGGGCTCCACCACCTTCACCTCCTCCTCCCCCTTGTGCCATGTCCCCGAGGCACTGGGCTGGGAGAAGCCATTAGAGGCTTCCTGGGGTGAAGGCACGTCGGCCCCATTGTTGTAGAGAGCCATGATGGGTGGGTGACCTTGCTGCCACCAGCAGCACCTGGGGGGGGGAGATAAGGAACAAGGGTCAGTCCCTGCCTTGGGTTCCCTCTCCCCAGTGACAGTGAGGGGACCCAGTCAGGACATGAAGACAAAATTCATCTCAAAAAAGGAGCAGGCACATAGCTTGGTGGGGAGAGCAACCCAAAGAGCTGGGTCTTCTGCCAGATCCCTTCCTGCCTCTTGCCTCAGTTTCCCCAGCTACAAAGCAAGGCTGGGGCTGTTCCCGTGGCCATGCTGGGAGGGATGGCTCATGGCAAAGGGAGGAAGATGCTCCACACCAGCCTCATACCAGGGAACACCTGGCAAACCCTCCAGCAATGGTCTGGTACCAGCTGCAAAGGGAGGCAAAGGCTCCCCCACCTGCCTTCTCCCTGCTCTTCCACCTTCTCAGGTCTCTGCCACCTTCCTGCACCACCACAGTCAACATGTCCTCACTTGGCTCCAAAAATAACCCCTTGGCATGGGGCAGCTGCTCCTGAGCAGAGCTGCTGATGCTCCCTCAGCCTGGGGAAGGAGATGGTCCCAAATCTCCTGGATCAACCAGACAGACACAACCCCAGTCTCAGCCACGTCGGGCCACCAGAGCACAGCTGACCTGTTCCTTGGTCTCCCTGTCCTGTGATGCCCCTGCCCAAAGCACCAGCCCTCTTCCCAGCATGAGATGCTCCCACTGGAGATCTGCAGGGTTCACCTGCAGCTCCCACAAATGCTCCTCCTGCCGAGAAGTCCTACACAAAGAGGAACAATGAGAAGGGAGGGCAGAGCACTCTCCCTCACACCCCAGGCTTGCTTTGGGCTTGGAGACACAGCTTTTCTCAGCAGACACTTTCCCAGGGTGTTCCCATGCCAGGCATCCTGCCTTTTCCAAGGAGGGATAGTGCCTGCACATTGGGAGTCAGGAGCTCTGGCAGGGAGCAGCCATCCCTACACAAGAAGCAGCTGCTCATGATGTCCAGGGATGTCCCACATGGCCCCAGACACCAGCCTGGAAAAGGAGGGATCGATTCCTCTGCATCATAGGAATGAAGGCAGGACAGCCAGACCACAGCCTGATCCACACCACTCGGAGCCCAGGGATGGCTCTCCTCTCCCACCGTGCCATTCCAGGCACTTCAGAGCTCTCCACGGCCACACAGAGCTGGGATGGGAACACACATCACCCACCAGAAGCCCTGAGGACATTTCTCCACTGTTGGAGGAGGGAAAAGCCCTCGGATCCCTCCTCGGGGGGCTCAGCCTGGTGCGAAGGTACCTCCCACCGCCCGGCATTCCCAAGGGCCAGCCCCGGCATTCCCGCTGCCACCGCCAGCCCCACACACTCATTTATCTCCTGAGGAGCCTGCCCGGGAGGACGGCAGCTGATTGCTTCATTTTTTAGTCCCTTCTTTCCCACCCACCCCCAATTATTACCACGGAGAGAGGAGCCGGCAGCTTTAATTTCCACAGAGGCAGGGAAGAGCAGGCAGGGGGAGGTGCTGCTGCTGGATGCTTGGACCTGTTAGAACAACGGGAGGGTCCCTGGGTCCCCCCTTGCCTCAGCACCCACATTTTGGGCCCTGGGACACTCCCTGTGTGTGTGTTTGTGGGGGGGGGGGGGCGCCCTGAACCCAGGCCCCCCAGTAGGTCCCAGGGTGAGAGACAGGAGAGATGCTCCTTCCTTCCCTCAGGACATGAAGCCAAAACATGGGAAGGAAACTTGGGAATGGGGGAAACTGCCCCGTGGGAAACCTTCACCCACCGAGGAGCTCAGGGAAGAAGGGGGGAGGAAGGAGAGGATGTTTCCCCCAGCAGTCTTTGCTAGCTTTTTCCCAATGGGAATTACTTTTAGCTTGAGTCTGGCAGAGGGGAAATTCATTGCTGTGAAGCCTGG